TCTATTGTTGAAAGCGGTCATAGACCATAGACAGCGTATCCTTGTTGTTAATTGCGAGCTGATGCTCATTCAACCTTGTGCCAAGGCGTTTGCCCATTTCACCAACATGCATTGCAGTTTTGGCATGGTATGCTGTAGACCACTGCTGATTGTTCTGACAATGGTAGTGGGTCTTTGGGCCTCATGATCTGCTGTCTGATGGTTAACTCTGGCCTTTGAGCCACACCGATCCCGAATGGTTTCTTGCAATCCCCTCTGATACGTTCTTCACATAGGTAATGTTGAGCCAGAACTTAGGGTCTTCTTATTTCGGCCGTTTAAGGCGAGGCTTCTTATGGCACTTGGACTTTGGATAACCGTTGGCTTGAAAGGGGTATGCAAGTGTTTAATCTGCTCACTGTCGTCACTATCGCATCTAACGTATGGTTCTATGATTAGATAAAGTCGGTTCCTATAGGTCTCGGCTTCGTGCAATTACATGCTTGCCATCGGTTTTGTTTGCTTTGGAATTTTCTTTATGAGGTGCAAGTCGATAGGCTTCTAGGTGCATGTCTTGCCGGTGTGCCTTTCCTGTAGGAATTCGTTGTCTTTCATTGTTGAGTAGACGCCATTTCTTTGAGTCCCTTCCCATGTCATGTGCCAGGTTTGCAGGACTGCGTAGGTCGCGTGTCTCCGTTCCTCACCTCAGTCTGGTGGTTGTATATATAGTTGAAATCACATTTCTTCGACATTTTGACACTAGATGAATTAAGGCAGGTTAGAAGAAGAAGAATGCTATATTGAGGATTGTAAAAACCTTAATTTTCAGCAAAAATGGCTCCATTCACGGAACATACTCGTTTTGTTGATCTCTGGGGATTAATCTCGAGCTCTCACAGGCAATCAAAAATACCAAAGGTTCAGAAGCAGAAGATGTGATCGCCGGGACAAGAGTTTTTTTGCCTGTTGTGTGGAAAAAGCAGTAGTGAAAAATACAAGGGCAACTAGATTTGACATTTTTGGTTAACTAGTTGTCATCAGCCAACCCGCGGTTAGCAGGACTTCAAATGCTAAACCGAAGTGAAAATTGAAAATTCTTGAGCCCAACGCTCTAACACGGAGACAACAGACGCCCGGGTGGCCATAGTGTTGCAATTACTCTTACCCTCCTAGGCCTCCAGCTTCGGAGTCAAGAGGGTACTCATTTGTGCAGGACGATTCGATGGAATCAGAGCAGCTCGTTTTTACTCGACTGAGCGGTCTGTTTTTCGAGCTCTGATTGTCTGATTGACTGGTTACCGCTATGGCGTGGGAAGACAGCAGTGTAAGTCCCTTTTTGCTTAACTGATCTTAACAACGACTTTCCAGTCTTCCAGTTTATGAATATATAGTGGAGTGGGAGCTGTCTATTAATGGCCTCTTTAAAAATAAATTACACCTTTGTGCCAAGCTAGTTCTTGACATATATTTTTTTCCAACCGCCAGGTCGTCTCCATCACCGCTTACGGAATCCTACGTAAAGGCAATTGCAGATGCGCATGGCAAAACACCCGCTCAAGTTCTCATTCGTCACGCTATTCAACGCGGCATTTGTGCCATTCCCAAGAGCTCTAATCCCGAACGGATCCGCTCTAATTTCCAGGTGAGCAGGCAGCTTCGTTTATCTGTTCGATATTTTTAACCCACCGTTTCTTTGTAAGGTGATCCTTTCGAAAAACACACTAACATCAACCATACAACTTGCAATATAGTAGGTTGAATAAGCTTAACTTTTTATGAAGAAAAGTGTTTACTTAATAGCGTCTTGTTCCGCGTTGCAATATTTTTCTCCTTTATGGTTTCTGTCTAGTGTAACGTGTACTTCTACTCAAAAATATTATTACGTCTCCTGCTTCCAAAACAGCTTACAATCAATCGTTCTCTTCCATTAAAAGTTTATCTTCAACTGATTATGTCGCCAGAACCCCTCGGCAACTAGGTGATTTCATTCCCGCCCTATGCATATGGGATTTTGAATTTGTCTGCAGATGAAGTTAAAATCTCTGGCCGTGGGTTAGAGGGCTTCCTAAACCACGCGGCTGACCGTGTGACGATCACTCTGTAATGTCTAAACTGTGGTAACCCTACAAGGCCACAATCAACTTGGGTTTTCTCCACGCACACTGTATCAGAATGCTACCTTGCCAAATGGCGTAAATGCACTCTGAAAACGACGCGCACACTGCACTCTAAAGTAATTCAGCGTATTGAGAATCATCCTGCCGTTCAGTGCCAAATCAGTATGTGTGGACACGCAACCTGACTGAAATTTGGGAAGCCTTCAACCTCGCTGTCCTTTGTTTTCCACACCCTCTATCTCTATCTTTTACTTAGTGGCTATATTCTCGTATATTCTTATCTCAACCCACTTTTCAGGTGTTTGACTTTGAACTGACTGATGAAGAGATGAAAATTCTGAATACTAGCGGAAGACAATGCAGACTCTTCACTGTGCCTTCGTAAGTTTTTGGGAATTTACTTGGATGCTCTTCTCTCTCGATTATTCTCTACACACTCTCGTTTTTCTAGGATGAAGCCTCATCCGGAGTATCCTTTCAACGATGAATACTAGAGGAAAGGCGTAGTCTGCGAACACTGCTGGAGGTCTATCTGGATTCGGCGGTTGCTAGTGTTGCGATTTATACCAATAAATGTGCCTCTGTTTGCATGCGTCTAAAGAACGCGCCTATATCATTGGT